TAATAGACGGACGTGAGTAACGAGCTTTTAATTGCTGCTTTAAGCATCACAGGACGAGTATCTCGATCTCGGACAAACACCGCTTTTTGCATTGCCGTCGCTCCTCATCATTAATTGTGCCGCGACAATTTTGTCCTCCCTCGTGAATTAAGGCGAACTCATGAACGCTCTTCTACAAAAAAAAAAAAAAGAGGGGAATCGTATATAATCGTACAGTTCCTTTTTTCCTTTTCCCCACCTGACTCGAAACTGAACGACCATTGAGCATCAACTATCGATTTTGCACGTAATGATCGATGCCGACGAGTTCTCCACGACTAGAATCACAGAAGCCCCCGACTTTAATTTTCACGGAAAATCGCCCGACTAATCCGAAGTAAAACTGACGTTTTCGTAACTAACTCCCGATATTCCCGAATTTCCTACGATAAATGACCCTCGCCCTCAGCTCGCCATGTTACACATCAAGACTCGGTCCTGCCGAGGGTTAAACCTCGGATTATATCTTTCCCGCGGGAGAAGAGGGATAATTCCAGAACTCGGATAATTAACCCTAGTGCGCCGCCAACAAGGGGCGAAATGCTCGACTATTTGTATCTCTCTACGATGAACTGCTTTATAACTTTATAACTTACATATAAATTTATGATTCTCCAAATGTATTCTACTAATAAACTTACGACGTATATGTACCATCCATTACATGTTTAGTGTCCAGAATGAAAATATATATTCTTAACAATCCGCGATAAATTATCGCGCAAAATCGGAAAATTTCGCGGGACATCGAGAAAAGGGCGGTTTCTATAGGGAGGCGAGATTTCAGTCGGCCGGAAACGACTGGTCGTTACCACGCAGAGAACGTCGTTGACAAAACGTACAACGATGCTTATCATTCGACGTTGATCGCGTCATCGCCTCATCGATTTTCACGGCGTCGCGTCTGGTCGCATCGCGGCCGTTCGATTGGAAATGCTGAATAATGGAGGCGAGGAATTCGAAAGAGATCTCGGACGAGAGTAAGAAAAGTGCCGCGGGATCTAAATAACGAACTGATTTTATACCTGGTCTTAAGATCCATCACAGATGGGCCGAACTGCGAAAAGTCATTATCCTGACGATGAATCATAACACTAATAAATCTCATTGTCAGCAAAGGTAAATGAGACGCGCGGTTCCAAAGTTGAGTTACGAAATCAGATATTTTATTTATTACGTGTCCGCCATGACTCTCAGTCTTCATCATTTTTCTTCAAATCTCGGATCTATACGAACTATTTCTTTACGTGGCAGTATCCGCGATCTTCGACGAAAAATATCTGAATTTGATATACTAAATCCCAGAGAACGTCGTATTTTTTAGCGAATATACGCTGACAAAAAAATTTATTAAATTTTAATATATATTTCTTTAAACGGTACTAAGTAAACATTTATTTACAGTAAATAAATATTCACTCGATAAAAAAGTGACAGTTAAATCAAATTAATGATTTTGTATCAAATAAATATAGGTTTACATTTAGTAAATATTTACTTAAAAATATTCAAACAAATATTAAAATATTGAATGTTTATTATTTAATACTTTTTTCAATGCAATATAAAGCGGTTATGTTGTAAGCAATTTTATGTATTAAAATAGGTTTGGATTCAATATGTTTACGCGTACAACAAAGTACTCTTTGTATAGAATTTGGGTGAAATGAAAATAGAAAGTCATTGTCATTTACGAGAAGATTTCTCTCACGGGTTAAAGAGACAGGTGCAAAGAGTTCATTCTTCGATCGCCTGTACTTTCAGCTGGTCTTCTAGTACCTGCGGTCGAACGTCGACATCCGATTCTCCTCCCAGGCACTCCGTACGCGAACTTAAGAAAATCTGTGGCTTCGCGGAACTACGGACACAAAGATCTGCGGCTTTGGGAATACGAGAGTAACCGAGGATCCGTGGGATCAAAGATCTAACGTGTCTCGCTCCTTTTTGAAGATAAGAGGAGTTTCGTAATTTCTTCCCCTTTGCGCGTTGTCTCGAGAGTAGAATAAATTTATCCGTATACATGAAGAGCTCTCCAGCGGCACCGAGGACCAGGAATTCGTGGTCTCTTTGAATCCACGATAGAACCGCGAATCCACGGCGCTGTCGAGAACCATGAAATCGGAGAGCCCCGAAACCGAGCGTTTGTCCATCCTTCAAGAATACCGGCCACGTCCTCTATCCTTCCAAAGGATACTGAATAATGGAGGACCGAGTGAGGAGGGCGGAAAGGCGGAGCGGCGAGGGGGGAGAGGGGGGGACACGACGAACATCTCACGAGTTCTCGAGAGGAGCCGGCGCGGCGGTTCGAAACGGCGGGGCCTCGAAAACGCCGGCCAGAACGTAGTGGATGCTAATGCGGCCCTAAGCAAACGGGGATTTCTTTTTTCTACCTGAAGTCGCGCTCATTGCAGGTGGATGAAACGTACGCCTGACGTGCGTGTACGAGCGACGACCATTTCAACTGTCCCTCTTCCCTCCTACCAGTCCATCCCATCCGTCAGGCTGCCGCGCGTATGTGTGATATGTACGCTGTGGTACATGTGGTGAGTGTGTGTGTGTGTGTGAGTGTGTGTGTGTCTGTATGCGTGCGTACGTGCGCGTCACGTGTGTATACGTGAGTGCGTGCATATGTGCATATGTGTGCACACGACGTGTGTTTATTCGGTGCCCGTCCGTCCGGCCACCCGCTCACCGTCAACAACGAACACGGCACGTACGATCGTTGTGTCGGCGACGGCGGTTCTACAGGGTGTCCTCGCACAATTCAGTACTCGAATCGCACGGTTGCGTATGTCTGATGAAAGAGCAAAGCGGATGCGGTGACGCGGTGAAGAAAAACACCCTCGAGATAGAAGAGTCCTTTCTTTTTTTCTCTCCTCTCTTTCTTTTTCCCTCCCTCCCTTTCGGGAGATGAAGTTCAGGGATGACTTTGTTGAAGTTGGACTTTTTGGCAAATACACATTACGAGGCACATTTAATTTAATCTCAAGTTGAGGTTTGACAGAAGTTCGAAAGATTCCAATTTAACGAGACGTTAAACTCGAAACTTGATTGATCTACGTTTAAAATTAACCGCTCCGAGAAAAAAAATGGCATTCGATAAATTCTTTTCAAGAGGAAAAGTCTAATTTCCTTCCTGCGATACCATTAATGATTTTTTAAATACCGCTTAATGTTTAAATTAACTAAATGCTTCTTCGTTTAAACTCACGCTAACCGATATCGTGCAGATGGATTCTTTACGCCAGAAAAAAGAAGACACCCTCTACATTAAAGACCCATTTTCTTTCCAGATAAGCGTCATCAAATATAATATGCAAAAAGATGGGAGACGGTGATTCAAACTCCCGTTAACCGATATCATGCAAATGTGAGTTTTAATGTCGGACGGACCGATACGGCTTTTCATCGTGCTTTAGGGACACCCCATGTATGCGCACGGGGAGACAGATGTACCCTATGCCGACTATGCGCGCTATAGACCCACCCGCATGCACTTTTAACGATCGAGATGATAAGTCGCGCGGAACAGAGCGAGAGAGCTCTCTCTCTCTCTCTCTCTCTCTCTCTCTCTCTCTCTCTCTCTCTCTCTCTCTCTCTCTCTCTCTCTATCTATCTATCTCTCTCTATCCTTCTCTCTGAGGATTAAGGTGGCTCCACATCGAGGCGAACAGCACCGCCCGGATCATAATCCGATATAGCCGCACGCCTCGGAGGCGTCCGCCATTTAGGTCGTTGTCGTTGTCGCGAATGCGCCTGCGAATTTTCGTTCTCGCCAATCCGTTTGCGAGGAAGAGCGAGCGGTTGGAAAGCAGCGTGGGGTGTCTATGACGTGTCTACGTGGAGAATGTCTCAACTGCCGCCTGATGTTAACGTCTTCAGCAGACGGATATCAAAAGAAAGAGCTGCTTGTAAAAACGATCGCTAATGATGTATATATGTATCGACGATATTCGACGATATCTGTTTCATATCAACATCAAAGTCTGCGTTAGGATCGTTCGGGTCGCAAAAGGGGAATCGAGGGAAATTACTTCGGATTATCAACCGTGCGCGAAAGGACTCTTTGTATACCCAAGTATACAGCCTTTAGCGTTTCTTCGAATTTAATCGGGGAGGGGACTATATTACATCGCATCTTATTCTCGGTTAGAAAGGCCTGATCTTCTCTTTTTGCTGTTCTGTAACGCAAACTGTTCGCATATGCAATCGCGTAAAGATACCAACGCGCTTTCTCCGTCTTGTGACGCGAATCCTCTCTCTTCTCGCATCTATTTCCGCGAGAACTATGTAAATTAGACATTTCCGCAAACAAAAGTCAAAGCAATAACGTTCGTTGATTACGATTATCAATCGAATCTTCCAATGCATACGAGAAAATAGTAAACCGTAAAATGGTCGGAACTACAAGACAGCTATAAATTATCACGTTATAAAGTATAGGTTTCCTTAAACACAATGGGAAAGAAGAGAAGGAAAGGAGGACAGAGAGCACAGCCATAATAAATGTCGCCTTTGCCGACTATGCATCGTCTACGTAAATTTACTGCGTGAAATGATAGTCTGTACATAATCTACACGTCGGGGATGCTCGGCGTAAACAACAATCGACAACGAGGATTGAATTTGATCGTCTGCTAGACGATTGCTGAACAAATTCTCATTGTTCGCGATACTGTTATGAATTACGCTTTATCAGCAAACGCGCGTATTGAGATATCAAGAAAAAGCCTTGAAAAACAAATTCCTAGTATCTTTTTAATTTCTAACTGACAGCCCTTCGAAGGTCGCGTCTCGACTTAACTTCCTCTCTCATCGAGTTCTCTCGATTTTTATCGATTGCCTTATTGATAAAGAACGGAGGAAGAAGACGATTCCGCGAGCGGACTCCGAGATCACCGCGATCGAAATTCGACGCACGTTCGCTTCGATTTGCGATAGCTCGGCCGCATTGCCGTTGTTGTTCACGCGTAGACATCCAACGCCGCGAAACCGCCCGGACATCTGGCTGTCGTCTAACTTTGAGGCAGAAGGGCGTGATAACTCGGCGTCTCGTAGAAGCCGGCGGCGGCTTGGAGAGCGTGCAGGGAAGTCGCGTGATGCCTGTGTATCGTGCTCGCGTATACGCTGGAGACGCCAGCCGCGGCAGAAACGCCGTTGGAAGCACCGAAGATGGATGAGGACGAGGAAGAGGAAGCCTGCTGGCCGATATGCGAGGCCGTTCGCGACAGCAACGTCACCGACGGTCGCCTATAGGGATGATGGGCGATCGCCGAGACCGCCGATGTGCCAACACGATGATGGCTGCCCGAGCTCGAGCTCGTGGCCGTGATATTGCTGTATGCCTGCTGATAAGTCTGTCGTAGAATACCGGAGATCGACGCGGACGTCGGAGACGTGACCGACGACGAAGAGGAGGAACTTCGATCGCTTTGGTGAGGTTGATGATGGAGCTGATGAGTGGTAGTGGTACGATGTTGCTGCTGCTGTTGCTGCTGGTGCTGCTGGCGGTGTTGATGATTGTGGGCGCGCATGGCGCGGAAGTAATGTTGATAAATACCTGATATGACTGCCTTCTCGTCGGCGGAGATGAGGTCGGCGGGACCGGATGCCGTTGGTGTTACGGGTCGTTGTTGAGGTTGTTGCTGGGGATGATGCTGCTGCTGCTGCTGCTGTTGGTGCGGATGAGGAGCATGAGTATGATTCCTGTGATGATGGTGATGATGATGATGAGTTGGTGGTTGTTGCTGCTGCTGCTGCTGTTGCTGCGGTGGCTGTTGCTGCTGGGGATGATGCCGTCGCTGAGATGGCTGCTGCTGCTGCTGCTGCTGCTGCTGTTGTTGTTGAGACAACGTGGCAGCAACATTGAGTGCCGCACGATAGGAGGCTGCAGCCATGGTGACAGCGGACATCTGACCGCTGGTGGATATGAGACCGCTACCGGAATCCGCGGCAGCTACCACTGCCGCGGCGACCGAGGACGATGCGATAGACGTCGCCGGTGACACAACGGAAGCAGATACAACGTTGGAGGAAACGACGATGTTATTCGACGGTGGGACAACCGTCGTTGTCGTCGAGGAAGTCGCCGCAACCGCGACCGCCGCGGTGGCGACTGTGACGGCGGCGATGCCGGTGGAGGCGGATGCCGTCGCAGCGCTCCTGCGACCGTTCCTGCGGGAGGCGGACATAGGCGTCGTCGCCGGCACCGCCGGGGGCGGCAAATTATTGACGAAAGGGCTCCTCCTCTCGCGCTCGGCGCGTCGATAGTAGCACGGATGGATCATTAGGAGGGG